TCTTTCTTTTCTTTGATATTCGTTCTTCCTTCGGGGTCTTACATGTTGGTGAATCCTTGTAAGTGTTCACGACAAGTGTTTGTGTGTGTTTATCTGTTTATTTGTAAGTCTAAATACAAGGGATACACAACTATTTATCCTATTAGCGCATGTTAGAGTATACCCAAGATAGGTATTTCGTGAGTTTAGTGTACACCCCCGGTTTATTGGCTCTGGCGCACCCGTGGCCCCAGCTCGTGATGCCAACAACAGTATGACGACCTGTGGGAGAAAAGATTATTGTTGTCATTGTAGTTTATATGACCTTTATTGCGGATGACAGACTGGGAGGATTTTGATCAAGGACTATAGAATGAACGGACTAAATAGGTTTTGCATAGTCTGATATAAAATCCTTATTTTTATGAATTAAACGTCTGAACTAATGACATGTATCAATCACTATTCTGACACTTTCATTATGGCTAAAAAATAATCATGGATAATAACTAATTATCCAAATATCTCATTCAGTTTTACTGAATAAGAGAAAGCTAATAACTAATTACCACAATAACTCTAAATTATAGTTGATATCTAATCACTACCAAATTAAAGCTAATAATAGGTCATCCTCCAACTCCTTAAAATAAAGCTAATAACTACCACAATAACTCACCATATCTAATAATTTGATAACTAATCACTATCAAATTAAGGCTAATAACAGGTCATCACTCCAACTCCTTAAAATAAAGCTAATAACTACCACAGTAAGTCACCATATCCAATAATTGATAGCTAATCACTCTTCAAATTAAGGCTAACAGGTCATCAGTCCAACTCCTTAAAATAAAGCCAACAACTACCACAACAACTCACCATATCCAATAACTAACCACCATATCAACCCAAAGCCTATAAGAGACACGGACGACACTCACCATCCACTACACAGACCATAGGGCCCCCTGAATCGCCCTGGCACGTGTCAATTCCACCCTCCATGTAGCCTGCACAGTACATGCCCTCTGTTAGTCTCGTTGGGCCGTAGACATAGTCCGCCCTGCACGTGGAGTCCGGGAGGATGGCAGCGCGGCGCTTTGGAGGACCTTGGAGTGTCCTGTTGGAATTGGGTGAATGAGTAATTAAGGAGATTGATGGATAAAAGAGATACAGTGGATATAGAAGTGAGTAATTAAGGAGATGGATGGATAAAGAGATACAGTGGACATACAAGTGAGTAAACAGGGAGATGGATGGATAAAGAGATACAGTGAATATAGAAGTGAGTAAACAGGGAGATGGATGGATAAAGAGATATAGTGGACATACAAGTGAGTAAACAGGGAGATGGATGGTAAAGACATACAGTGGATATACAAGTGAGTAAACAGGGAGATGGATGGATAAAGAGATACAGTGGATATAGAAGTGAGTAAACAGGGAGATGGATGGATAAAGAGATACAGAGGATATATAAATGGGTAAACAAAGAGATGGTTGAGTAAAGAGATGCAAGTGAGCAAAGAAAGAGATGGATGGATAAAGCGATATAGTGGATATACAAGAGAGTAAACAAAGAGATGGATGGATAAAGCGATATAGTGGATATACAAGTGAGTCAACAAAGATGTGGATGGATAAAGCGATATACTGGATAAACAAGTGAGTCAACAAAGAGATGGATGGATAAAGAGATACACTGGATATACAAGTGAGTAAACAAAGAAATAAATGGATAAAGAGATACACTGGATATACAAGTAAACAAAGAGATGGATGGATAAATAGACACACAGTGGATGAGTAGAAACAAGTGATGTAAAATAACGAAGGAGAATGCACTAAGGTTGTTTGAATACTTGAATAAACAAGTGGGTAAATATGTAGGAGAATTAATAAATTGATAAACATTCAGTCAATATAATAAAAGATAAAGTCAATTATGGTAGAAATATAGAGAAAACGACGAATATAGTAATAAGGTTTACAACGTCAGCGTTTTGTAAAAATGAAGATAAAAAATAAGTGAAGAAATAAGATAAATATAAATTAATTAATTGATGAATAATCAATTAACGAAATGAAATTCCAAAATAAGAGATAGAATTGACTAAAACAGATGCACAATGAAAAAGAAGAATGCAACTAGAGACGCCAGTAGTGTTCAGTAAATATAAATATAACCAAGTGAAGAAACAAAAGCGGTAAACAATCAGTAAATAAACGGACACGGAAAGTGAAAAGGTAATAATATAATTGAAACAGAAGTGTAGAGAATGAGGAAAATGCAGAAAGAATATTTGAAACGCCATTAGTTTCTAAACATAATACATAAACAAATCACTAACTGCATAGATAGCTATTAAAATATATTTGAGAAGTAAGTATTCTGTAAATATGATAACACATAAACAAATGACTAAATGAATATATAAAAAGAAATAGAAAAAATGCTGTGAAGATTATTAATACAAGAAGAATTTTTGAGATTCAGCAGTTGGTAAACACACGGCTATACGAATAGAAAAAAACAGGAATGAAAAAAAAATAAAGAATAGAAAAATATGATTCATAAAAAAATAAAAAATGCAGAGATTATTAATTTAAAAAAAATTGAGACTCAGTAGTTGGTAAACAAACGACTATACGAATAGAAAAAAATGAGAAAAAAAATTAAAGAATAGAAAAATATGATTCATAAAAAAACAGAAATGCAGAGAAAGGGAGAATGCAGAAAGGATGTTTGCGACGTCAGAGTGAAGTGATGGACGATGACGTCTTGGGTTTCTGCAAATATCACAGAAGATAAATGACAAGGATTTTAAAAGAAATGTGACGAATAAGGGAATGCATGAAATAGAATGATAAATGAACGATGAATTAAAAATGGCCGAAAATAAACAGTAGTAATTGATAACATAGTGAATGACATCTTGGGTTTCTGCAAATATCAGAGAAGACAAATAAGGATTTTAAAAGAAATGTGACGAATAAGGGAATGCATGAAATAGAATGATAAATGAACGATGAATTAAAAATGACCGAAAATAAACAGCAGTATTTTCATAACATGGTGAATTCGTAGTACCGTAGTGTTTGTTTATTAAGATTTATACAAATTTATACAAGGGTGATTTTCAAATAGGATATAAGGTATAGTTTAGGTAAATATAAACAAAATGCCACTTTTTGGAGAAATAAAAATAATCAATAAAAAGTTAAAGTGAGAAAAACATTACATGAGTGAGCTTTAACTGGTTGCCATGGATGCAGAAATCTTGCCAAAGAGTGAGTGAAAAATATCACCATAACTCTTACCAGAACGACACAATAATAATACAAAAAAAAAAAAAAAAAAAACATTGCAACCGATATTGTTTTTACAAAAATAATAAATGATAATGATGATGATAATAATAATAATAATAATAATAATAATAATAATAATAATAATATAATAATAAAGAAAGAAAGAAAGAAAAAAATCAGCCTTAAAATATCAGAACAAATAAAAATTAACATACATACACAAACCCTAAAACATCATCACACAACCGCGACATTTTACACAACAAAAAAATAACACAGCATACAAAAATTAACGAAAAGGAAAATAGCAAATCAAAATACAAAAAATTAACGAAAAGGAAAACAGCAAACCAAAATACAAAAAATAAACGAAAAGGAAAACAGCAAACCAACCCCCCTCCCCCCCCCAAAAAAAAATACAAAAAAAAAAATTACGAAAAGGAAATTGCCCAAACTCACCCAGCTCAGGACCGAGGACTGCCCAGCCTGCCACCGTGCAATTCAGGTACGACGGGTAGTTCCAGCAGGGGGACGAGGCACAGGGGCTGCACGTACTTTCCAAACCTGGGAGAAAGGGAGACGCGAGAAGATAAAGGAGGGAGGAAGGCAGACGCGAGAAGATAAAGGAGGGAGGAAGGGAGACGCGAGAAGATAAAAGAGGTAGGAAAGGAGACGCGAGAAGGTAAAGGGGGGGAGGAAGGAGAGAAATAGAGAAGGAGGAACAGGAGGAGAAAAGGGAGGACGGAGGAACAGGAAAAGGGAGAGGGAGGGACAGGGAGAAAAATAGAGAAGGGAGGAACAGGTAGAGAGAAAGGAGGAGGAGGAACAGGAAGAGAAAAGGGAGGGAGGGACAGGAAGAGAAAGGGGAGAGGTAGGTACAGGAAGAGAAAAGGGAGGAGGGAGGAACAGGAAGAGAAAAGGGAGGAGGGAGGAACAGGAAGAGAAAAGGGAGGAGGTAGGTATAGGAAGTGAAAAGGGAGGAGGAGGAACAAGAAGAGAAATGGGAGGAGGGAGGAACAGGAAGAGAAAAGGGAGAAAGAGGAACGGGAAGGAGAAATGAAGAAGCGAGAAGATAAAGGGGAAGAAGGGAGAGAGACGGGAAGAGTAGAAGGAGAGAGGAGAAATTAGAAAAAGTAAGAGAAAAGTAAATGAGAAATAGAAAAGCGAGAAGAGAAAGCGGAAACGGAGGAACACGAAGAGAAGAGGAGAAAGGAGAAGCAAGAAGAAATTGGAGAGGAAAGAGAAACAGGAAGGGAAAGAAGAAAAGAGAATAAGGGGAACAGAAAAGCGAGAAATAAATAACCGGAAGAGAAAAGGGAGAATAGAGAAGAAAATAAGGAGGAATCAAGTTGCGATGTAGGAACAACATAAGAAATGGGGAAAGAGTAAAAAAAGAAATAAAAGTGAGAAGGTCTAAACAAGAAGGAGTGAGGAGAAAAACAAGAAAAAAGCGAAAAAATAAAAATAAAAAAGAGAAATAAAAGGAGATGGAAGAAAAAAACAAGAAAGCGAAGAGGAAAGAACAAAAAGACGTAGAAAGAGAAAACAAAGGAGACGTAATTGTCTTTATTCCAACGCTTATTATCCTAAGCAACAGATTTCATCCCGACAGTCCTAAAATGTATACAAATTTCCTCGACATACAAACATCACCTTTGTTCAAATTCATATATATTATCATCTCTCTATTTAAATATCTACTGAAT